CCTGCTGATACTGTGAGCATCAGAGAGCTGCATTGGGGGGTTGCCATTGAATGATAATGAACTAGCTTGAATACTGTCTCCTTAAATGTGTACAGAAATAAGCTGAACTACCGTATCCCTATAGATAGATAGCTGATAAACTTCCTTCTTGCAAGATCCTTTCTATCTTTGTGCCTTTGTGTTTACTCTCTCGTATTATGCTGTTGATTTCTTTGATAGTACATCTTTTTAACAGTGGAGTTGACACAAGAAAGAGCCTATTATCCATGTCCTGCCATTGCCTATATTGTCTTAAACTTTTGATTTCCCTGATTCAAAGCCAAGACAGAGCAGTGGTACATAAAACCTGCAATTAAACTGTGCAATACAGCAGGAAGCTCTCAGGCATAAGCACCATTAAAACAAAGGAGAATTGCCCAAGAGAATGTTGTGCTGGATTGTGGCCATTGGGTACATTATTTTAATTGTGTGGTATACAAAATACTACAGTCGTATAGTTCTGATCCACAAAATTAAGAACATGTTCTGGTCCTCAAAATGCATTGCAAAAGAACCGCAGTGAGCCAGTACATTTTCTGGTTCAACATACTTAAGCAGCCTGAAATAGAAAACTTAAAACCATTAAAACTCCAGACAGGAGCTTATTTACGGTATATCTTGGTTCTTGTGACGTCTGTCCTTGTAAATGATGAAGACGTATTTTAAAGTAATTGTTCTGCATGAATACTACTAGAAAATTGTCTTTTCTTCATTATCATGATATGTACTGGTAAACTGCTTGGTCTCAGTGCAAATGACCAACGCAGCAAAACTGAGCCACTCACAGAAAAGGTCTGTACATTTTTAAGATACTCTCTAGGTATGCAAAAAAAATGCAATATTATAAACTAGGAATAAGAACCATTGTGGAAATAAATACAACGAGCTCTAGAAAGAGGCTCTGGGAGAGTGCCAAGGCCTTGGACACTCAGCGTCTATTTGCTGTGGTGACCTCAACAAGGTATAATGACACAGAGTCCACCAATTTCTCCAGAGGAACTGATCTCTGCTACCTGAAGAGCAGTTGTAATTTTGAGTGCTCTCCAGCCCTCACCTGGAGATTGGCAACAATGGTTACTCAGGAGGAGTTGGCAACCCATCTCCTTCCCAGCTAACCATCAACCTACCGTTATCTGTTCCCTCTGACTGCAGCTGACTTCTGCCACCCCAGATCAGGTGTAATTCAGAGTGATCTCCACCCCTCACTTGGCAACAGTGGTTCCCCAGGAGGGAATGGCTGGTTGGGAGGATGGAGTCTATGGCATTGTACCTCTCTGAGGTCCCACCCCTCCTCAAACCTCACCCTCTCCAGCTTCCATCCGTCAAATCTCCAGGAATTTCCCACCTGGAGTTGGCAACCCTATCTCCTTCCCAGCTAAGCACCGACCTACCTTTATTTCCCCCTCACTCTTCAGCTTTCCATCTCCCCCACCCACCCACCTGCAGCCTCTACGGTGCTCTGAAACCCTGACTGCCACGTCACATTGGCTGTCATGGGGGGCATCTCAGCAGGGTATAAGGACACAGAGTCCACCATGTTCTCCACAGGAACTGATCTCTGCCATCTGGAGAGCAGTTGTAATTCTGAGAGATCTCCAGCTCTCACCTGGAGAATGGCAACAATAGTTTCCCAGGAGGAAAAATAGTCTTTCTCTGCAATGGGGTCCAAAGCAGCTTACATCATTCTCCTCTCTGCCTTTTGATTTGCACAACAACCCTGTGAGTTACATTAGGCTGAAAATCTGTGACTGGTC